ACAATATGCATAATAAATAAGGTGATTTTCTATATAAAGTCCTGTATATATAATTTATAATGTAAATGGAGAGAGTAATTCTCTAAATTTTATATGTTCCACTTCTAAAATTTAGAGCTTTCCAACTGAATAATGAAATTATGAAAAACTTATTAGTATAGATCAAAATAAATGCAATCATTCAAAATGTTTTCATCTGCAATCTACCTAAAATTTTAAAAATTTCTACAAATGTTTATATCGTGTAGCATGAAAATAAAGGCCTATTGCTATGCCAGAAATTAAAAACTCTTCTCCTAATTTTAAATGCTACATTAAACTAAAGATGTCATCTACTGATACCCTAATGCATGAATAAAACAAATTGCACAATAATGTTTTCTAAAATACACTAGTTATGTACAACACATACAACTTTATCTTATTACAGCAACTTTGAATGTGCTAAAACTTTAAATTTAAATAATATTTAAAATAAAAACTAAGCTTCACAAAATCTAAGAAGGGATATTTATTATACGAAGCATCTACCAAAGGTGATATACGTTAATATAAGATTTCTAAAGGTCTACTTGTCCTTATCACTTTTGTTGAGATCAGAATTCATATCACACCTAGCTAGATACACAACTGAAACATCTAATTAAAGATTGAGCAGTGCAGGTGATTAATAGTAAAATGTGGCAGTCATATTTTGCATTTAAATGAAAAGATACTAGTGAATATTGTTAAAAATAGTGATTGAATCTAAATTTGACTTTGAAAAATTATTCATAAAAGTGTATGTATTTTTATTGATAATGTAGACAGGGTGGTCAATAGAGAAAAAAGAATATAAAAAATTAATGAATAAAATTAAGATTACTTTATAGGTTTTTATTTAGCTCATTTAACAAAATGATAATTTCAGAAATATAATTGCTTTAATGTCTTACTTTTAAATATCATTTATATTTAAAACAAAATGATAGAACACAATTCACTATTTTATTTTAAATTTATTCAATGTAGATTTCAAACAAAGGAAAATACTTAGGACAGTGTTTGCAGTAGACAAAGAATATAGTACATTGTAGTTCACCATTAAATAATCTGCTTAGGATTCAATAGGGTAATTTTACTAAAACTTCCTTTTCTTTATGAACACTTGTCTTAAGAGTTGTTCTCTTTCTGTCCTCTCTATTCACTAACTAAAATGAGAACCAGAGATACTATCAAAGTCACTTCATTGAAAATATTCCAGGAGTCCATTAACACTAACGGAAGGAATTGGAACTTATCTGAGACCTTATAAGGCAAAGGTGTAGTAAATCACAGTTAAATAACCATATCACCAAAAAACTGCTATAAAGGAACTAAGCAGACAAATATTTATTTTTGTCCTCTGGCTTTTGTGAAAAACTAGTTTCACTGTTCTTTATATTGTTCTAAATTATAAAATTATTCCCTCAAACACAAGGAAATTATAGATCAAGAATAGTTAATAGTCAAAAGTAGAGTTTATTTTCATCTGTGGCCCAATTTTAAATAATGTGAAATCTCAATTGTCATTGACTTATATAAATAAATGTTTTAATACAAAGAACTTGAAGGAAATCAAATTAGAAGTTCCTCTCTCACAGAAACTACATTTTGAGAGATGAAGTACAGCGTTAAAAATAAAACATGTTTTCACCTTATGCAAAATGACTCAAAACACCATTGAGAAATGCTTTTTAAGGAACTTCAGATATTTTTTAAGTTACTTTTATCTTCAAACATACAAAGGAACGATTAGGAGTAGTTTCCATTCTAATCATAAAGGGACGGGTCACCAAGCTGGAAGAAAATTGAGATACTGTCTTTTAGCTGGCAGAATATATAGAAAAGGAGAGAACAGGGTGCACATGAAACAAACATTTAAAATACATTTATATAGTGCTGCAATAAACATGGGTGTGCAGGTATCTCTGAGTAACCTGAGTCACATTCTTTTGGGTATATCCACAAGAGTGGTATTGCTGGATCATATGGTAGATCAATGTTTAGCTTTTTAAGTAGCCTCCAAATGTTTTTCTAGAGTGGTTCTACTAGTTTACATTCCCACCTGCAGTATAAGAGGGTTCCTTTTTCCCCAAATCCACGCCAACACCTGTTGTTAGTGGTGTTGCTAATGATGGCTATTCTAACAGAGGTGAGGTGGAATCTTAGTGTGGTTTTAATTTGCATTTCCTTTATTGCTAGAGATGGTGAGCATTTTTTCATGTGTTTTTTTGGCCATTAGAATGTCTTCTTTTGAGAAACTTCTGTTTAGTTCACTTGCCCATTTCTTTTTTGGTTCATTAATTTTGGGAGAATTTAGTGTTTTAAGTTCCCTATATATTCTGGTTATCAGTCCTTTGTCTGATGTGTAGCTGGCAAATATTTTCTCCCACTCTGTGGGTAGTCTTTCAGTTTAGAGACCATTTCTTTTGTTCAACTCCCTGTATAGCTATCCTTATCTCAACTGGCAAAAACCCTTGGTCCTTCCTATTATTGCTTATACTCTTCAACAAAATTAGAGATAAGGACAAAATAGTTTCTGCCAGGTAGCAAGGGGATAAGGGGGAGAAATGACCCAAACATTGTATGCACATATGAATAAAATAATTTTTTTTTTAAAAATGAGAACAAAACAATACATTTATATAATAATTACATACATGAGTGATAATGAAGCCACAGTAATATGTTATGGGACATTAGAACTCCTGGTTCACTTTCTTGTGCCTCAGCATTTTATTTACAAGTAAATTGAAAGATTTTAGAAATTCTCACTGTTGGTATGTCTTAGTACCTGCAGAAGGCTTTAAGGGTATACAGAGTTGGCTTAATTTTTACATTTTTTGGGATGATTTGAAGTAAACTGAAATACTTAATTCATCAAGAAGAGACAGCTTGGAACTACAAAGTTGTTTTAGGTGATTAATGTGTACAAAGGTAAATTTTACTTTTAAGTATTTTTAACAGTTGTGTATACATATATAGTGTTCCAACTTATATGATACTTCTCATTACAATGAAAAACAAACTTATTATATACTGTTTAAGCAGCTATATCAAACATGTGTTCAAGGAAGTGGACATATTATTGGAAGCACAAAGGATTCTGTATTGAGTCAACAGGAATATATATTTTAACACAAACACATTTAAAATATTATGTAACTATCCAGGAATTATATTAATTTGAAATGTTAAATAAAATATGGACCTCTTCTAAATATTTCTGGAAGGAAGAATACTTCAACTACACAAATTTTTTTCTTTTATTCATATGTGCATACAACGTTTAAGTCATTTCTCCCCCCTTCTCCCCACCCCCTCTCTTACCCCCCACCTCTTTCCTCTCCCCCCTTACCCTGCTACCAGGCAGAAACTGTTTTGCCCTTATCTCTAATTTTGTTGAAGAGAGAGTATAAGCAATAATAAGAAGGACCAAGGGTTTTTGGCAGTTGAGATAAGGATAGTTATACAGGGAGTTTACCTGCATTGCTTTCCTGAACATATGTGTTACATTTTAAATTAATTTTTCTTGAACTAACCTTTTCTCTAGTTCCTGGTCCCCTTCTCCTATTAGCCTTTGTTGCTTTAAAATTCCTGCATTAGTTCCTTTGCATTGAGGACATCAAATATTGTCTTGTTTTGGGGGGGTTTCTTGCCTATCCTCATACTTCAACTACACTAATTTTAAAGTACATACACAAGAGAACAAATCTTATTCACACATTTCAAGATGAATTGATACATAATTAAGAATTTGAATGAAAAATCGAGTCATATATTGTGTCATGACTTCAAGAGTCTTTTATGCTCCCCCTTTATCCCAAGATATCATACATGTTTTAAATTCTATTAATTATGTTAGTAGGTCATAAGCAACTTAAAAAACATAACATAAAATTGGAACATGCCATTCTTTATTCAGTGAAATATGATGTACACCCAATTTCAGGCATTTACTCCTTTGTGTAAGAAATGAATGTTTCATTTATTTTAAAAGGCAAATCAATCAAAGCAATAATATATATTCAGTAATTTTATAACAGAGCAATAAAATAAATCTATTTAAATTTTACTATAGTGTCATGTTTTCCCTAGGTAGTTTAAAAATAATGGTATAATATTTTTGAAATACCATATCTCAGTCCTTATTTTTAACTCATATGACTGGCGTTATATTTCATAATACCAGAAATATCAATACATATTTTGTATTAGGAATATAAATAACTTTACATTGTCTTTATGATAGATAAAAATAGAACTTGTTTCTTTTTAACTATTTATAGAAAAAGGAAGCATGATTACAGAAAAGATAATTTTTAGTGATTAAAAGTAGTGAAATAGCATGATTACAATTAACATAAAACCACCAAAATATTATTTGCTGTCATTCAACTTTTGAGAAGAGTGGTAGGTAATATAAATGGTTCTCTCAACAACACTATGCTAATGCATATTTCAAAACCATATAAAATTGCTTTTGTTTTTGTTTTTGTTTTTTTGTTTGTTGGGGATTTTGGTTGATTGTTCTTAAAAACCTCTTGCCCTTGATACTTTTCAGAGGGTAACATGGATAGTTCACCTTTACTTCCAAACTCCTGAAGAAAATGTTTAAAACTCTTCAGCAATCAGACAAGGCAAGTAATTTCATGTTTCGTTATTTCTATATTAAGTATCAGTGTGTACACTAAAATAGCATTTTATTACATTACAAATGTTGACACCAAGAGCAAACAGAAAGACAGCATGTTAGAATTACAATGCGATGTTTCTTCTATAAATCATAATTTTCAACTGCCAGATTACGGCTAAAGAAATCACTAGGTTCACTGGGACATCATTTGCATGGTGGTTTTTGTTTTACTTGCTTTTATAATTGGAAATCCAAATCATCACATTAATGATCTAAGTAAATTTTTAACAGCAAATTATTGAAATATTTTGGAAAGGAATAGAATTATGTTATTCCTAGAAAGTTATATCTCACTGAAGATTTCAATAGTTGATGTCCTGGAATCAGTCTAGGACAAGAAAAATAAAACATTATCAAAATTGGACAGTTGTGTTCTAGGAGTCTTATTTGCCTAGCATGCTATGTGGCTAAAATTTACCTATTACAATATATATACAGAAAATGAAAATTACCAAATTTAACAATAGTGAATAATCATCTTGTTCCAGGCTAACTCAGAATACTGTTACCATTTGAATCCATGCATCATATCTAAAGCATGGTTTGACCCATGAATTGTCCAAACTCTTCACCATTCTTTTTGTCTCATTTCTGAACTTGAAGACTATTTCAACTCAAATCATATAAACTTGTGAAAACCTCTTCTTTTGGAAATGAAGGAAACAGTATCTCAAACACATGTCTCTAAGACATTGACTAGTATATAGAAGGCCCTAAAAATGATACTTTCATATTTATTTTCCTCTTTATTTTTCAAATGTATAGCCTTTAGAATATTTGAATGGAGAAGGTGTATTCAGTAAGACTTGACTTTGCAAAGCATCCCTTGTATATGAAAATTAATGAAAACCAATTCTAAAATAGTTATTTATACTTATTGTCCTCCTAAGGTCATAACAACAAAATGTTATCTCCTTGTTCTGAAATGTTTTCACAGAAGGAACCCTGTAGATTCATCCTCTTAAATTTTATATTTGACATTCTTATCACAATATATACAAAAAGGTCTTCATAACATGTATAGAAACTTATAACACAATGGATCATCATATTGCCCAGGTATAGAGAGCTTCATGCAACAGGTGACTGATAAATAATGAATGCTCCATATTTTTTCAAACAACATGGTCAGAAAAAAAAACTATACAAAGTATTTGATTTCTTTTCTATCATGGAAATTTTCTGAAAAGGCTTCATATATCTTATAGCTTATTACAACTCTTTTATTCTCTATGGGCATATTTCTAATATGCCCATGAATGAGTAATGAACTACTGAATATAAATATCAACATAAACCCATCTTTTGAAATGTACTATTTGGTTTGTTTGAAACAATTTGGTATATTTTTCCCTTCTGCTAACAGATTTTTTTTTTATTTTCTTGCCTTAAGTTCCTTAGGAACAATTGTACTGACTGACACATTTGTCCATTTTGCATGATGTTTTTTAAAAAAACACTTAACTGGATTTGAATTTTTAAATAACAATTTTTTTTCATTTTTCAGTGTTTAATTATCATGCTGGCATTCTGCAACATCAGTGAATATAAGATTCCTCTTCTGGCAGTAATTGTAAATTGAAAAGTATATAGAAAGCCTAAAGAACATTGCAATGTAGCACAAAATGTAGATATTCAAATGATTTTATTGTTAAATTAGTCTGCTTAAAATAACTAAATATTGTCAAGAAGATATTTATCAAATAATATGAAAGTGTGACTAATGACATAAAGTATATGATTTACATATTAAGATATTAAAATATAAAATAAGTCATCTGATAGCATAGGCCTATTAGCTGAAAAAACTCTAATGATAACCAATAAGTCATTAGCATTTAGTTCTATTATTTTATGTAACTCGAGAAACCATTTGTTCTAATGCTTAGAAAAAAGTATCTTAATTGTATAATATAAAAGTGCCATCATAGAAAAATGTTATTGATTTTATTGATTTTTATGAATTACAAAATACAAAAAACAAATAAAATAATATATCTCTATATTTGAAAAATACTTCAATTTTTCACTTCATCCATGGCTTAGTCACTATATATTCATGTAGCTCATAAAACAGCTCCACACCTTGAAAAACAGTTGTAAGCATAATTTGCTTCAATAACTTCAGGAGCCAATCTATTAAAAAATGATGATCCACAAATATAATTCACAAACCCCACACTTTTTTATGTTATAAATCAAATCACAAAATTTAACTTAGGAAAAAATTCTATTAGGATATGCATCATATATAGTGTTATTCAAAACGAACATTTTTCTGTTGAGAAATGTTTCAAATAAGCACATAATATTGATAAATAAAAAATGAGAATGCCCTTTTGAATGGATAAATGCAAACAAAAATATACCCAGAGGAGATGTTAGGCAACTTTTATGTTTGTTTCCCACTTGAGATCCACCAATGTAGAAAATCAAGAAACACATATGCAATTTTATTAAGCCTGAAGAATTTTCTAAATGTTTTATTTGCTGAAACTGAAATATTTTACTAGGAGAAAAAAAAGACAAAATAATAAAGCCAATGTGTGGCATGGTTTTTAGAGGAAAAAATGTTGATAAATTCCACCACTTAACTTTACTAAAGAAATAATCATACTTTTAAATCATTTAACTTACTTTTGAATTTCTGGATAAATTTGAACTCATTTCTCCATAGAATAAAGATGAAAACAGCACTCTATTAACTCTTGTTTTCATAAATGTATTGGGTTTAAATTACTGTGCTCAGATTTCTTGGGTCTTAATATGCTCATATTTCCCTTCGTGCCCATTAGAGAAAGCAAACATATTCCATTTTCCAATAGTCATTATCTTTTAAGAATGTCTCCGGAAGGACTATGAATACTTTGCATAAATTTGCAAATATTTAACTGATAATCTGATAATCTAAAATACAGATTATATGTGTGTTTCATTCTTTTATTTGAAGTTGAGACTGAGTATATACTTATTTTTCTTAATTTCATTCTTGCTATATTGTGTGGAAACAGGTTTGATGAACCAAAGTAATTTTGAGTTGCTAATATGAAAAATGAAACTCTTCTTTGTGGGGACCTGAAAGGCTTGTGTGGTACTGAGGGGAACATAACTTGGTATCACTTAATTACCTTGGGCACCACAGATTTTCCCAAGTGAAACTGGGAATCTCAATACCATTAGTATTAAGAGCTGTTTGGCAGATTCTAAATGCTTTATTGAAGGTATGGAGCCCAGATTTTAAGATTTTCATTGCACACAATGGTAATGAGGATAGTGCTACAATCCTTGTTAGGGACTTTTTCCAGTATATTCTCTAGCCAAGAATCGTCATACTGCCATCTACAGACAAAATTACCCCATTACAATTATCACTTTCCACCCAATTTTTCTAAACTTAGCAGTCATTTCGTGTTGATTTTCTACCAAACTTAAATGAATTCATACACCTATTCAGAAGCTTCTGAACAACACAATTGTTTTGTTCCCTCTTCAAAATTAATAGATACTGTAAAATCCTATATCAACTGAAAATAATCTTAAAAATAAAATAAACTTAGGAAGTTTAGTCAGAAACTGCAATTACCTACCTGTCTGGTGTGTACAGACACAAGTGTCTTGAAGGTAGTCACTGGATAACTGCACTCAGAAACACTGTAAGGATCAGAACTGCTGGAAGAACACTTGGAGATGGAATCACAGGCCACAAAGGTGTTATCAAGTGGCAGTTCCTGGATGACATGGTGCTTTGAATTCAGGGGAGTTTCAGGTTGAATCTGGAAGGCTGGCTGTGGAAAGGCAGATTTATAGTGCCGGGCTAAATCAGGGCTGTCAGGTTTGAAGGTAGTAGGTATAGTGCCCCAGTTGTATTTGCCCATGGTTTGCTCTTCCAATTCAATGGGAAGGTCTAATGTGACACTGTTTCCTTCATTGTCGCCATCATCTGCCTTGGTTTCTTTAATAGTTACAAAGTTAAGCAGCAAGTTCTTAGGGGCATGTTTCTTCTTCTTCTTCTTCTTCTTCTTCTTCTTTTTCTTCATCATTATCATCTGTCGGTTTTCTGGGTTTGGAGTAACCCATTCAGAATTCTGCTTGTTTTTCTGAGAAGCCTTAAGGTGTGGTGATTGGCG